CATCACTTCAGACTTTCAAGAAGAGATTGGAATGCTATTTGTCAGAAATGGTATAGGGTCTCCTGCTTGGTCGGGGGGAGGGGGTTGGACTAGATGACCTACCAGGTCCCTTCCAACTCTGTTAATCTGTAATACTATAAGGCTCAAGTCCAACATAGATCAAATGCAACCATGCAACCACCAAGGCTTCAATCAGACAAAGTAACAGGTTTTCTGAAATAATTTGTATGCTCCTCTGGAACCCAACTGGGCCCATCAGTCACCTAGAGTGGGTCAATCCAATAGGCTTGGCTTATCTGTGGTGGGAGGTGGGACATGAGAATTTGAGGCTCACCAGTGAGAGTGGTCTGTCCATAGCAGGAGAGAAATCAAATCTCCCTCAAATACAGAACATGCTGTCTTTGCTCCAACAGAAAAACCAGATCTAGTGTATTATCACTGCTATGAGTTGGGCTCTGCATAATTTGGGCCAGGCCGATGGCTGCCATTGTGACCACAAACTTCTCAGCTATCTCTAAGCCTGTACCCAGGTATGGCAGATTGAAATCCCCAGGAGTCCAGGGAGCGCCACAGCCAGCACAGCCATGGAATCAAGATGCTCAGGCAAGGAGGTTACTAGTAGCAAATAGTCTGATATAATAGCAACAGTTCTAACAGACCTCTCCTTGTGACCATCTTAAGAAATAGTCTTTCATATCTGGCAATCTGTGGAGTAAGGACCCTGGTTACCTCTCTGGTATCTTGGATGATCATAGCCTCCTACTTCCTGTACTCTGCGGTCTTAGTTGCTGTCAAATCTGGAAATTGTCTGGGCAGATCTAAGTGAGCAGGATCCCTGCCCTCTTGTTCCAGCCAAGTCATAGTAATGCACACTAGATCAGCCTTTTTCTCAACAGTTAAGTTGTTGATTAAGGTGCATTATTACAGACTGATCTAGGATCACTATATATATGCATATGCTATGGTGTTCCTTATACTATAGAGTGCCAGGATCTGACTGACTTTTCATGAGTCTTAGAAGCCAGGCAGGTTGGGCTTTGTTAAGCTTTGTATGGGAAAGTAAAGATTACATTATTCCATGGAGTCTGCTACAATTATTATTACTATTGTTATATTAATTTAAATTAATTGACTACCCTACTCCAATGGGCTCTGGGTGGTGTACAAAACTGGGGGGAAATGTAAAAACGGTTAAAAATCATTAAATCAGATGGACAACATTTGGCCCTTATTTTTCCAAAATTGAGAAAGATGGTTAAAAGACATTGTATCCATGAACCAAAAGTAGATAGTCCTTGATTTACAACCATTCATTTAGTCACCATTTGAAGTTACAATGGCACTGAAAAAAGTGACTTATGGTCGTTTTTCACACTTATGACCATAGCAGCATCCCTATGGTCACTTGATTAAAATTTGGATACCAGTTTGGCTTTCAACAATGGAAGTACTGATTCACCCAAACATTATTAATATGGAAAATATCATTAGCTATTCTGAATGAAAAGAGGAAGCTCAAAATTAAACAAGAACTGAGTGATCAAGGGATCAATATGGCATGGTATTCACAAGTGCAGATACATTCTAGATATGAGAAAGATGTTAAATTATATGGTTTCTACAAAGAATTAACAGAACTAGATAAGATATTAACAGGAATGGAAGAAAGATTGATAAAGAAACTGTACAGCTACTTATTGGGCATTAAACTGGAAGATGAACAAGTGAAGAAGACAATGATAGCATGGACAAAAAAAATTGGTTACACAATAGAACTAGATAAATGGCAGAAATTGTGGGACAGGAACTACAAATTAACAATATCAACTGCATATAAAGAAAATCTGTATAAGATGTTTTATAATATAGATGGTACTTTGCACCGGTGAGGTTAGTAAAGATGTTTAAAGATAAGTCAGCCAAATGTTGGAAGTGCCACCAGATACCTGGATCTTATCATATGTGGTGGACATATGCAGAAGCAAAAAAATATTGGACAAAATACATACATGGCTGCAATAGATGATAAAGCAGGACATTGATTTAAAACCAGACATATTTTTGTTGGGGACTGTACCTGGAACTTATAGTAAAGGGAATTTATATTTAATTATCCATGTATTAACTACAGCTAGAATTGTATTTTCACAAAATTGGAAAAATGAAAAGATCCCCACAGATGAGAATGTGATTAGGAAAATATTACAATGTGCAGAAATGAATAGATTAATGCTTCCAATTAAGGAAAAAGAGCAAACTGAATATTATATGACATTGGAAATATTTTATCAATGGTTAGAAAATAAAAATGGAAGTTAGAAACAAAAGGAGATTAGTGAAATGTAGAAAATATGTAAAGATAGAGATGTAAATAACATGATGATTGTTATTATTATGGCCATTAAGATCATTATATTCAATATCATTATTATATTCTTATTAGAAGATATGTTAAGAGGGAAAATGAATAGGTTTACTATGTTCAATACTACTACTGTAAGATCAGAGAATCAATATCAATGTAATGAACACTGTTGTAAATTTTGATTGTTATTGCACAGAGATATTTGTACCCAGATGACACACTGTTCAATGGAAGATGGAAAGTTTATAATAAAAACAAATTGGACACTAAGCAACTGACATTGTCCTAAAGTCATGGGATCACCGTTTGCATTTTCTGACAAGCAAAATTAGTGGGGAAGCCAGATTCACTAACTAATGTGTTACTCACTTAATAACTGCAGTGATTCACTTAACAGCTATGGCAAGAAAGATTGTAAAATGGGACAAAAATTCACTTAACAACTGTCTTGCTTAGCAGTGGAAATGTTAGGCTCAATTGTGGTCATGTCAAGGACTGCTTGTATTTCAAAGTGTGAAAAATAACCCTACAGCAAAAAACATCTTAAACAGTCTTTTAGTTAAAGATGTTTTTTTTTCAGATTTGTCTATATTATCTACTACATGAATGCCATCTGTACAAATGTCTGTTGGATATAAATATTGAAATAATATTTTAAAATTTGCATCTTTCCTTGCAATTAAAACATATACAAGTACAATAACATCCTTTACATTGCCTTTATATATTTTCTCTTCCTATTTTTTATTATGTTCCTTATGGGGTTTTTTTCAATGTTTTGGTAAAAATGAAAAAAAGAAGGGAGGAAATGTAACATGTAGTATCTATCTCAAGATACTAGAGTGAAATGCTACTAGTTTTCTGCTGAAACATAATGTATACATACAATATATGAACTCAGTCAGCTTCAGAAGGGCAAACATTTATATCACAATTGTGTAGATTGATCTTTTAGAAAAATACGGCATTTTACATATTGCTAAAAATACAATCATTTGTACGCAGAATGCATGAAATGACCTCAAATCATACAACTGAGCTAGTTCTAGAGCCAAAAGAATAAGCACACATGTATCAAATCTTGTGTCAATTCCTGTTAACTCTCCCAAAGTGCTACATATTTTATCAAGGAAACTTCTGTCTGACTGCAACTGTTCTTCAGGCACCATTTCATTGCCACACCAGTCAAAATCAATTCTGTGGATACCTGATTAAACTGTATCAATAACTTGAAAAGAAAAAAAATCTTGATTAGACCCCTAATTTGTTTAATTGTCATAACATTGATCAATTTTAATCTGTCTGACCTGCATTGCAGAAGATTTAAGGGCACATATTCCATAGACTTTAAATGTAATATTGAATATACTTGGGAAAAATGTCAGCTGTTGTATAATCCATACTAAAAGATTTTCTCCCTCCTCCCCCTTTCCTGGAAGTAATTAAAAGATGCTTTTCTTGACTAATGATCCCTTATTTAGAAATGGGAAGTCGATATTCCTCCTGCAGCAGTAAGCTTCAATTTGTCACACAGCTCTGAAAGTCTGAAAGACGGTTCTTTGGGTTGTTTGGTAATTGCTGAAGCCAATTGTTGAAGCTTTTAAACCTGTCCTAATCAGAGGTCCATAGGCAACCAACCATCAGACACCAGGTGATTTCGTTTGTTGCAAAGTTTTGAAACTTCCCCATCGCCTTTCATTTTGGCTATTTTACAAATTTTAAATGTTTTGCCTTTGGTGTAAAAATCCTAAATGTAAACTGTAGCTAGTTTATTATTTTTTTGGTATAGCAGATATTTGCTTAGAATTCAGATTAACTTGTATTTTTTGTTTCTTTTAGGATAATGATGATATTTTTATCTAGCCTTTTAAATATATATTTTGGTCAACTCAAGATTACAGAGGTATCTAATACACCGGCCTCTTATTTTCTGCACAACAACCTTGTCAGATGAGCAGGCCCAAAGTCATCAAACTGGATTTTGTGCCTAAGGGAGCCCTCAAATTCATAATATCCTGCTTTCTAGCCTTAATCATCACACCAAATTGGCTCTGTCTGGAAATATTTACTTTTTTTGACTGCTAGGTCATAATGTTGGTTTTCATATTGCAAAAATTAATTATTTCTGAATTTTTGAAGTACTGCATTAGCTTAAATTACAAAGATGAAATAGATTCCAATGAATCATCTAAGTCTGAGGTCAAGAAAAAAAAATAGCTAATATATATATTTATGTAGAAATCATTCATATTATTTAGAAAATATAAGTAATCATATTATTTAGTAATCAGTATGTCTCTGACTTAGTAATTTTTTCATTTCCTTTAGATTTTACATTCATGTAATTATAATTAAGTTTTATAATTTTGTGGTTATATATTTTTAGTTTGTACCATGAATGCTTTCTTTTTATACAAAAATATAATGCATTACTGTAAACAACCATGTCTTAACAGAAGGTAAAGTTCAGTGTGATCAAATGTTTTAAGCATAGCAAGAGGTTACTCTAGGTTTAGATACAAAATTCATTCTATAGAAATTGCTGTTCAGATATTTTCCAAAGATGAACTTTTCTAAGATCATGTATTGCTTTTTGAAATTAGATGTTAAAAATGTTTTTACAAAAGGAGCCTACCTTGTGGAGTTTGGAAGCGGTTTTGTACGGCCTTGGGTATTTTCTTCCCATATGCTATTTGCTAATTCATTTCCAATGGAGGACATTACTTTGATGAGTTCAACAGGCCAATTATCCAAGTCAAGTGAACGGACACGTGATAAATGTGTACCAAGGTTTCGGTGTATCCCTGAGCATTCAATACAAATGAGAGCTCCCAAATTTAAACTTGCCCAATCGGGATCTATTGGTAAAGAAAACAAAATAAACATTTTTCTACTAATAATCTGGACTAATTCTTATGTCCTCTTCATAAAAGTGACATACATATTTTTTTGTTTACAATATACAGCGTAGTAAAGAATAAATGAAACAGGATTAAAGGATTTAAGACCCAAAATACATACTTATTATTCTACTCCTCTTATGTATCCGAGTGACAGAATGAAAAGGCAGATTTCTGACATGAAAGAATATGTATGTGTGTGTGTGTGTGTGTGTGTGTATGTGTGTGTGTGTGTGTGTGTGTGTGTATCTTTGATTATTCGGGTTTTCTCCCACGTAAAATTGGAAGTATCTAGGCAACATTTCGATGAAGTCTCATTCATCATCTTCAGGCTTGTGTCTTCAGCTTTGTGCTTCTCAGAGTAATGTGAGCTTGCAGCTGCTTCTTCCTTTTAACTGCTAGTGGGGGTGTGACTTGATTGGGTGGGGGCTTGGCTGTGTTCTGATTGGCTGGGGGGGTGTTCTCATTGGTTGGGGGTTTGGCTATGTTCTGATTGGCTGGGGGTGTGTTCTGTTCAGGTGGGGGCTTGGTTGTGCTCAGGTTAGTCTTAGTTGCTGGGGGATTTGAGCTGGTGAGCTGTGATCCTGCTGTTTGGCTTTGTGTTCATGGTCGTGCCACATCTTCATGGTGGGCATCAGTTCGCTTCATGTATGGGTCGGAGGGGTTTGAAGCGGGTAGTGATGCAGCTGCAGTACGGCTTCTGATCCGTGGTCGTGTCTCATCTTCTGTGTGGGTGTGAGTCTGCTTTCTACATGGAAGTATGGTGGTAGCATCTTGTGTGGCCCTCGTGCATGTGGGTCTGGTGTCATTATTCATGTTAGGTACTCCTTTGTTCATGAGGGTGGGTTTTCAAATGGCTGGCAGGCAGGAGGTATCTCATTTATTCATGCTGTGTGGGCGTTTTTCTATCTCTATGGCTTCCCTGATTATTCTGTTGTTGAAGTGTTCGGTTTTGGCGATAGTTCTGGTATTTTTAAAGTCAATCACATGTCCTGTGGCTTTGAGGTGTTGGACTAGGGAAGAGGTTGGTTCTTCTTTTTTGATTGAGTTCTTGTGTTCTTCAATGCGTGCACTTATTCTTCTGTTAGTTTGTCCGATGTATGTGGTGGGGCAGGCAGTGCAAGAGATTTTGTATACTCCTTGGTTTTCTAACTCGATTTTGTCTTTAGGGTTTCTTAGGATAGTGGATATTTTTCTGTTTGTGCAGAATGCTGTTTTAATGTTGTGTTTTTGGAGGATCTTGCTGATTTTGTCTGTAGTGCCTTTTATATATGGGAGGAGGGCTTTGCCGTTCTCTTGTCCTCTGTCTTGGATTTTGGTTGGGGTTTCTTTTTGGATTAGGTAGGTAATCTTCTTTCTTTGGAATCCATTGGCTGTTAGTACGTTCATGAGAGTGTGTAGTTCGGTTTTTAGGTATTGTTCGTCGGCTAAGCATTTTGTTCTGGAGATGAGTGTCTCGGCTACGGAATTGATCTGTGCTGGGTGGTGGTGCGAGAGTGCATGTAGATAGCGATTTGTATGTGTTTTCTTCTGGTAGATGGTGTGTCCTAGGGAGCCATTGGATTTTTTGTATACTAAGACATCTAGGAAGGGAAGTTGATTGTTAGCTTCTGTTTCCATGGTGAATTGTATTTTGGGGTGTAGGCTGTTGAGGTGTGTGAGGAAGTTGTTCAGTTTTTCTTTCCCGTGTGGCCAGATTATGAAGGTGTCATCTACGTATCTGAGCCAGAGTTTGGGTTTGTGGTCGTATTTTTCTAGAGCTTGTGTTTCAAAGTGTTCCATGTAGAGGTTTGCGATGACAGGTGAGAGGGGTGATCCCATGGGTGCTCCTTCTATTTGTTTGTATTTTTGTCCATTGTAGGTGAAGTATGTATTGGATAGGCAGTGGTTGGTTAGATCTAGGATGTGCTTGGGGGGGTTGTATTTGTTTTGGATGGCTGTCAAGGCTTCTTTTATTGGCTCTTGGGTGAAGAGGGATATGACATTGAAACTCACTAGTAGGTCGCTGGGTTGTAAGTTTTGTTTATGATCTCAATGAACTGGAATGAGTTTCTTACGTGTGAGTTGATGGATTCTGCATAGAGCTGTAGTTGTTTGGCGAGAAATTTGGCTAGGTTTTGTAGAGGTGAGCCTATGGAGCTGACTGTTGGTCTAAGTGGGGTTCCTTCTTTGTGTATCTTGGGGAGACCATAAAGCTTAGGGCATCTGGATGATTTCTCTCTGGATATGATTCTTTGCTAGATTTCTTCGCTGATGGAGAAGGCTTTTATTTTGGATCTGGTGGTGTTTTCTAGGTAGGTGGTGGGGTCTGTGTTTAGGGGTTTGTATGTGGGGTCTTGGAGTAGGTCGGTTAACTTGGTTTGGTAGTCAGATGTGTTCATAACCACCGTTGTGTTGCCCTTGTCTGCTGGTAGGATTATTATGCTGGTGTCTTCTTTCAGGTTAAGTAGTGCAGTTTGTTCTTCTTTGGATAAGTTGCTTTTGGGTAGTTTGCTAGTGCAGAGGATGTTGGTGATTTCCAGTCTGATTCTATTAGCATCATCAGGGTTGGTTTTGGTCAGGCTGGTTTCAACTCTGCATATGATGGTTTCTGTGGGGATGTGTTTGGGAGTGACAGCAAAGTTGAATCCTTTCGAAAGGACATTGGTTTTGGCTTCGGTGAGGATCTTGTCTGAGATGTTGTGCACTGTTTGTTTCATGTGTGGCTGTGAGGGGGGAGGAGTTTGTTTCTGGCATTGTTGTAGTTTTCTGAGTTTGTTGGTATGTGTGTTTGTCTTGAGGGTGGTCTGTGTTTCGGCTCTCCAGACAGCGAGTTGTTTGGATTTGTCCCAAAGTGCGGGGTGAATCTTGTTGCTGAGTCTGAGGTGAAGTGTGAGGAGATCTTTGTTGATTTGGTTTAGGAGGAATCTTTTTGTGTGAAGTTCATTTCTAATTAGGGCCAATTCTGTTCTTTTTAGGATGCGTTTGGTGGCTGCTGTGTTGGTGTGGAATTTCAATTGGAAGCTTATGGGGATTAAATTTTGATCTCGGCAGTTGCATAGGAATGCGAGGTCACATAAAATGGAAGCTCTTTAGACTTCAAGTTTTTCATAAGTCCTGGTCAGATGGTGGGTTTCCTCCCCGTAGAGGTGCAATATTTGTTTTCTGAGGTTTTCGCGGGTATTTGTATGTGGATCTTTGGTTATTCGGGTTTTCTCCCGCGTAAAATTGGAAGTATCTAGGCGACGTTTTGATGAAGTCTCATTCATCATCTTCAGGCTTGTGTCTTCAGCTTTGTGCTTCTTGGAGTAATGTGAGCTTGCAGCTGCTTCTTCCTTTTAACTGCTAGTGGGGTGTGACTTGATTGGGTGGGGGCTTGGCTGTGTTCTGATTGGGTGGGGGGTGCTCTCATTGGTTGGGGGGTTGGCTGTGTTCTGATTGGTTGTAAGTTGGCTGGGCTGTAAGTTTTTTTTAACAGATAACCATTACACATAAAAACTAAACAGCCCAAAAAGTAGATTTGGTTTAAACAGTGAAATGTCAATATTTAAAAATAAATAAAAGTAAAACAAAAGAAAATAAAAAGAAAACTGTTTTGCTCATAATGAGTTTGATCCAGAAAGTTCCGCACATAGGGTTTTTTTTCCCCCTCATAGAAGCCTTTGGGTTTGGCAAAATTCTACTGCAAAATAGGCAATGTCTGAAAATATTCATCTTCACTCTTGTAGTTACCTATCTTCCCTGAAAGAAATGCTTCCTGAAACATTTGGAACCAATTCTTTATGCTTTTTTTCAACCTTGAAGTGCAAATGTATTCAAGAAACTGATGTTGATCACTCAGTATTTTATTGTTACCATGGCACATAACTGAATGGAGTAATACTGAGTAAAGTAATACTTGATGCTAACGGGATTAGGAATTCTTCTTAGCCTACTAAGAAAAAAAAATATCAGGGAAAGTACATTTTTTTAAAAAACATTATTTAAGAGTTACCAATATTTTCTCTCTTACTAGAGGTTAATAGCAGCGACACAGAAAAAGACAACAGTGTTCCAAATCAGTATCATTAAGATTTTTAATAATCTCAAATAAAGTAACATAACGAACACAAACAAAAAAAGAAAAATAGAACATAATAGCAAGAGGGAAGCACTGAACATGTTTTCTGAACATGTAAAAAGACCACAAGCTTTAAGAAGCTCAGGATGACATTTCCTATATAAAATGGTTGTACTTACTTTGTATTTCACAATCTACACAGTGAGAATTTCCTCTGACATTTCTTATTGACTGAAGAGCCATGACCTCATTCTGACTTGTCAGTCGGGACTGTAATATTTAAAGAAATATACAAACAATAAGACCTAAAGCAAATGCAGACATAGCAGCAATTGTCTGCTGGTGATAAAAAGTTCAAACAGAAGTGGAATGATCACAGCATTTGATGCCTTTAGTTAGTGGAATGGGACAATTCCATAGCCAACTCACTGCAACCAACTCACTATGGCCAACTTGCTGCGGGACAACTCGCCATGGATAACTCACCGCAGAACAATTTAATAATTCAATTTAATTATTTAAAATAAATAAAAATTATTTAATTTTTGTCATTCACATTTCATTCTGTCCCTCCTTTTGCATCCTTTTTTTAATGATTTTATTCCACATTTCTTTGATATTAGTGTAACTCATGTCCTGCAGCAAGTTGTCCCATGAACAGTTGGCTGTGGCAAGTTGGCCCTGGTAAATTGTCATAGACCCTTTAGTTAGCTTCTCAGAGAGTTGATCCCTTAGCATCTTTAACTACTTCAATTCAGTATCTGATAAGAAGAGCTTGCAATTTTCACAATGTTATTGAGAGCTTAAGCTTTTCTCAAAGCATTGGAGCATATAGAGAATACGATATTCAAAATCCAACTGGAGTTATCATAGATATAGTAATTTCAACACTGAAGTATAATATTATTAATACATATATCAAACAGAGAACAACCCATTGTTATACAGAAATTCTGAAAAACTAAAATAATTTCTCCAAGTCCCATGTTTCTTTGCAGAAAAATCTGGAAAAAAATAATGCAATGGCAAGCAAATATCAGAGTTAAGCCAATGGCTTGCTTAAAAAGCCCTTCTAGTCTGGTCTGTTAATGATTCCTTCTTTGATCTGAAGATAGAATTTCTATGAAGTGAGACTTTCTCTTATATACTATATTAGGTGAATCCTAAGACTTAGTATAGGAACTCCTGGCGATGGATTTGAAGAGAATCATATAATACTATATATAAATAGATATAATATGGTAGATAAATTTTCCCCATCTGTCCCATCTACCCATTTTAACAAATGTTAAATTGTTGTTACATATTAATGCTATTTTTATGACCACATCATGTAGTAGCTATTACATTTATTGTTCCTGCTAATACAATGTAACTTTTTTTGTTTAAAACCATTTCCAAGTTGTTTTACATTACTGAATAGCAACAGCATTAGACTTATATACTGCGCCATAGTGCTTTACAGGACTCTCTGAGCAATTTACAGTGTCAGCCTATTGCCCCCAACAATCCGGAATTTCATTTTAGCGACCTCAGAAGGATGGAAGGCTGAGTTAACCTTGAGCCTCCTAGGATCGTACTCCTGGCTGTAGGCAGATTTATCCTGCAATACTGCATTCTAACCACAGTGCCACCATGGCTCTTAATGTTTTGAGTCATAACAAAGTTCTCCTAGTTAATGTATATTTCGTATAATATAAATTCCGAAGATATATACCCAAGCCTAGCTGAATATATTCATGATTAAGTTCCACTGGGAAAAAACTGAACAAATTTAAGTCACATACATATAAGTAATTATGCGTACTATAAGTAAAGTATTACTTTCAAAAGAATGTGATATGACTATCTTTTCATATACCTAGACCATAAAAATAAAAGAAAGAATTGTATCAATAAAGTTCTCAGGCATATTTGATATTTTGTCAGTTATCTACTGAAGCCCAAGGACATTACCACAAAATAGGTACAATTCTAATGAGAAGCTTTTGTTCAGAATAGTTGATGATGATGATGATAATTCTTAAGCATGCTTGTGCCAACTTTCGAAGTGTATTCAGGCTGCTTTCACTTTTACTGTTTCACAGCTTGCCAACAGACCAGGGGAATAATAGATGGAGAGACTGGAATGTGAATTCCAGATGATAACAAGAAACTGCCTCATGGGAACCAAGGACATTCCAGTATTTGTTTCCCAGAGGCATGGAGGTTTTTCCGTAACAAGACCTGGGCACCTAATTGGACAATGTGACCTGCACTAATGTGGGGAGGGAGGATTCTACACTTTAATTATATTGGATTGCCAGGGAATTAGCCAGAGCTGGTTTTGCTTTCATTCTGTGCCAAAATAATGTACTTAATAAAGTTTTGACAAGTAGATTGCTTGATTGGGTTGCTTGCTTGATTGGGTTCGTCAGTTGGAACCTTGACAACTTGTGCTGAAATATGGACCCTGTTCAATATTACTCTAAAAATGTTAACTTTCTTAAATATAAGGTAGCGTGCAATTTCTTCCTATGTGGAAATAATCATTTCCAAGAACTGAAAATTTTAAGTAGTTTTCTTTTTTCTAAAATAGTTCTAAATGCCTTTGTGCATATCTGTAAGAATTTTGAAGAAATAAAAAACCAGCATAATAATTTAGTCAATGGTTTCATCCCAAATATATTCTGGAATTATAAGGAAAATGAAAAAAGAAAAGGAAGAACTTATTAAAAAAAGCAGATAACATGTTGCACAACAGGGCAAAATACACACTGAGTTTTAGATGCTAAGAAAATGATTCCTTTATATCAGGGATGTCAAACTCATGTCACAGTGGCATCACATGACGCATCTGGACTTTTCCCCCCTTCTCTAAACTGGGTGTGGATGTGGCCAGCATGTGATGCATCCAGCCGATGGGCCAGGAGTTTGACAGCCCTACTTTATATTATTAGTGTTGAACATCTAACCTTATTTTTGCTGCTTTCACACGATTGTAGGCTGGCCAGAATCTGACTCTCTATTGCTTGGACCCAGGCATCTCTTTCTTCATATGTTGTAGCTTCAAAGTGCCATGTCTGGCCAGTAAGGGACACAATGGTAAATTCAAAATTTTCTTCTTGATCTGAAAATGAATTGAGAAGTAAGTAAGAGGAAGGGAGAAGACTGATTTGATTGAATTCTCAGATTAAAGGTTTAAGTAAATTATTATTTCATAATTAGCAACTGTGCAAAAAAGATACAGCAGATCAAGGAACTTTTCTGCCATGACTCTTTCTCCAGGTTTTTAAAAAAATAAATAGTAATCTTTAAAGATATGATTAGGAATGCCTATTTAAGGGGTCCTCAAACTTTTTAAACAGGGGGCCAATCCACGATCCCTCAGACTGTCCAAGGGCCGGACTATAGGATTAGGTCTCTCTCTCCCTCTCAATCTCTCTGTGTCTGCCTCTGTATATCTTTCTCTCTGTATCTCTCTCTCTCTCTCTCTCTCTCTCTCTGTGTGTCTGTCTGTCTCTCTGTATATATCTCTCGTTCTCTCTCTTTCTCTCTCTCTCTCTCTCTGCCTCTCTGTGTTGTTCTCTCTTTCTCTCACTGTTTCTCTTTCTGTCTCTGTGTGTATATCTGTCTCTCACTCTGTATTTCTCTCTCTCTCTGTCTCTTTTTCACTGTCTTTCTCTTTCTCTCTCTGTATCTCTGTGTGCGTGTGTCTCTGTCTCTGTCTCTCACTATGTGCTGCCCGACAGACTGCAGCAGGAAATGGTGGGCGGCTATTTCTGCCCTTTTTTTTGGTGCTGGACGTGCCTTGGTCAATCGGGGGAGATGTGCAACCTGCTGAGACACTGGCCTGACCGGTGCCACAGCCAATGCTGTTCCTGTTGCCAGGGGCGAGTGGGGCAGGGTCGCGTTATGGCTCTGCATCCTAATGGGCTCCAGGAAGAGGAGGGGACCCCGTCTCCCCTATGGTGAAGTGCGCTAAATTTCACTGTGCTGTGCAAGACACTGCAAGAGCAGTGGGCAGGCTATGGAGATGGCAACAGAAGTGGCATCACCCACGGAGTGGGTCGGGTCAGTATCTCAGGGCAAAGAGCAGGTCATGCATCTCCCTGAGCAACCGAGGTGCACCCAGCACCAACCAGGGCTGGAAGAAGTGCCCCTGAGACCCAGCAAGAGAGGGAGGTGCTGGAAAATCAGCCCCAGACACTTCTCTCTGCCACAGTGCTTCCTGGACACAGTTTACAACTCCGAGACCAAAGCAATGGGAGGCATGGGCTGCCTTGAGCACAAATGTACCATGCTGAAGGCAGAATGCTGTTGCTGTGAAAAGGCAAATACGGGGGTGCTTTGCTCCCACACTAAGGCTCCAGCCATCACCATGGCTGCTTTGGCCTGCCTGCGCCACCCATCTTGCCACAACAGCGCCATTACCTCACTCCAGACAGTGGGGGCTGTGCTATTCCTTACACTACTTCTTGTACCACTTTTTGCCTGTTCCGATCCCTGTCACTAGGAACGGGCCGAAATGGGGCATGCGATGGCAAAAAACAGGGAGTGCACAAGTTGAAAATGGGAAGCTGTGGCCAAAAATGGGGCATGCGGAGGTGGCAATCCCTGCAGCCTGAAACAAGCACAGGAGGTGGGATGCCAATCTAACCAACAATCAGCTGCTTGTGCTAATCAGGCTGTACTGAAGCTGGCCAGGCTGTTTGCTGTTTGTTTCAAGGAGGCAAATTGCTGGGAGGCAGAGGCACATTTTTTTTCTTGTTTTCCTCGCCAAAAGTTAGGTGTATCTTATACTTCAGAGCATCTTATACTCCGAAAAATACAGTAATTAGTTAGGATGGATTTTTATAAGTTTGGTATATGTATTGAAAGAAAACTCTAAGGTAGTTTTGTATTTATAAAATGAAATGTAAATGTAAATGTATGTTTCTGTCCTTGTATGTAACATTGAATAATTCCCAAACTTTGTAAAATGTTACTGATCAAATTTGAAAATACAGATTAGGTACAGATACAGTTTAACAGAGTTGAAAGGGATCGTCTGGTGTCGGCAATCCGCGGCTCCAGAGCCACATGAGGCTCTTTCACCCCTCTGTTGCAGCTCCTTGTGGCCCTGTCACGGCAGACTGCTGCCCTGTCACAGCGGTGGTGATGGGGGAGCCTTAGTGAGGGAGCGAAGAGCCTCTGTATTTACCTTTGTACAGAAACAGAATTCTGCTTTCGTTGCACATTTGCTGTTGCCGCCAGCAAAGAGGACTGGGGGAGAATGGTAGGGGTGGATCTTATGGGGTGGGACCATCCCCCAAGACTGACTTTTCTCCTCCCTCATTGGCAGGCCATGAGAAAGAATGGGTAGCGTGGGGAAGCTCTCCCCTCCCCCAGCTGAGTGCTGAGCACAAAAGGCCAGCGGGGGGAGGCCATTGGCGAGTCAGAAGGTAGAGAGGCCTGGCCCAGCTCTTGCAGCTGTCCTGCTGTTCGGCACCTCCAACATGAGCTGCTGCCTTTGAAATGCACCATGCCTTTGAGGAAGCCAGGCAGCAATGGCTGGGGCCGGGCGGGGGGTACTGGAGGCATCAGGGCTACTTTCCCCCCTCTTCAGCAAGCCAGGCCTGGAGGAGTACAGAGAGCCTAACCCTAACCCTTTCGGGGGGGAGCATGTGACCTCTCCTTAAATCTGGATGATTTCCTTAGGATATCTTGGAGGTGAGTGAGACCAGCTGGTATCTTTAAGTGGTGCAAATGGATCTAAGGATTGCTTCTCGTGGGTGTGCTCTTTCTGAAGAGCTTAAATGACCTCTCTGTTGAGGGGTTTCACTTTATTAGCAAGAGTTGGCTTCTGATAGTTATCATTGCATTTTAACTATTTTAATTCCTCAAGGTGCTCTGGCACCCTGCCTGATTTGTAACTCCGGCTTGCAGGTATTTTTAATCTAATGATTGGTATTTAGGGCAGCTTTTTGCAAGCAAAGAAGCTTTTTGTATTTTGTACAGCTAATCCTTGACTTACAACAGTTCATTTAGTGACCATTCAAAGTTTCAATGGCACTGAAAAAAGTGACTTATGATCATTTTTCACACTTACGACCATTGCAGAATCCCCACTGTCATGAGAGGCCAGGTGAGGAGAAACACCCCTTGACGTGAGTGATGTTGAGTTAGCCACGCCCACCCAGTCACATGACTGCCAAGCCACACCCACCAATTATATCACGCTCACAGAACCGTTGTTAAAAAAATTTGAATCCCACCCCTGTTGTAGACTAATGTAAATATAAATCTGTATCTGATATAGAGCTGAAGGCTATTAACGTATTTGAATTCTCCTTCTTCAGGTAACTTTTTGCGGGAGAGGGGTGTTTGTTCAGCTACTACATTTCCAGGTCTTTTATTAAAAGAAAATGATGTTCATTGCTATCTATCATCAATTTTGTGTTAAATTATACATTCTTTATTGTTTGAAAGTGGCAATCATATCTAAAAGGATGAAAACTTTAATTAAATCCATTAGCCGGCATCATTGTAGCATTTCATAGAATCCAATAGCATTCCAATAAAATATCACTTTCTTTCTCCAAAAGCTCTCTTGAAAAACACAGTTTCAAATCTTTTCCCGAATGGCAAGGAGGACCAGGATTTCCCAAATCTGGAGGTCAAGCAGGTACAGAACAAGGGAGTCATAAGTAACTTCCCTAAATGTGGGAACCCATAGGTTCTCCTTGGAGCAGATGGGGTGGCCTGAACTGAGCTATAAATGGTTAATGGGTAATCAGCAGCTCCCTGAACCAGGTACAAAAGCAAATGGGCAGAATCTGCAGTATCAGGGTTACTTTACTATATGATCTTCATTGAGCAGCAAACAGACATCCATTCTGTACCAAGTCATATTTAAGAGCAGCACCACGTAAACCAAATTTCATGTGGTTTAATCATAAAAAAAATCCTTTCTCTCTCTCTGCCTGGAAGGAGCAGGAGTTAATTATCAAGTTACATAAAGCTTTATATTTCCATTTAAAAAAAATAGCTATCTTATATACTTACAGAGGAGCTAAGAATTTTAGGTTCCAAAATACACATAGCTTTTCCACTAATGGGCTTCCCTGAGAATACATATGATCAGATTTTTTACAAAATAACCATCTATACTCACAGATAAGCCTGTTCATGGATAAGTCAACCTTTGGATTTTTCAGGAAAATACTATGAACAATGTGCCATCCACAGATAAGCCAATTACAAAAATAAAATAAAAATATATACAGATAGTCCTCAACTTACAATTACAATTGAGCCCAAAATTTATGTTGCTAAGTAAACCATTTCATAAGTGCGTTTTGCCCATTTTATGACTTTTCTTGCCACTTTTGTTAAGTGAATCATTGCAATTGTTAAGTAACATGGTTGTTAAGTGGTCCTGTTTTCCCCATTGACTTTGCTTGTCAGAAAGGCACAAAAGCTTGTCACATGACCCCAGACACTGCAACTGTCACAAATACAAAGCAGTTGCCAAACATCTGAATTTTCATCATGTGACCATGGGGATGCTGGAATGGTGTATGTAATAATATGGTAATAACCATCTGATTGCCCTGCCATCATTAAAAGGAGAAAATAAATCTACAAATAAAGTTTATAATGTAAAAGCACGTAAGTAATTGTTCTGATTTCTTCCATACTACAAGAGTACAAGTATACATCCAGAACATAAGTTTCTCCTGTGTTAATTACTCTCTTTTCGAATTTTTTTCTTTACTGGTTTTCGGTTGTAATGATGCTGTATTCAATTCATTAAAAAGAGAGGGGTTGGGTTTGTTTTTCATGAGGAACCATTACATCTTCCAAGGACATATAGAGACTGGTAGCAAAAAAAGCTTTGATGAGTTTTTCATACTATTAAAAAAGAGTATTTGTTATTTCTCAATTTTTAGAAAATACTTATGTTTTGGTCTATATTGTCCATAATCATAGGGTAATTTGTTTATTTTCTAGGGAGAGGAGTGGCTCTCAACAGTCCAAGGCGGTAACAGCTTTTTCAACAGTTTCACATTCTTCCCTCCTAAGCTTCAGGCGTTTCTCAAATCAGAAAACAGAAGTCTGTCCAAAGTCAAAGTCACTGTATTGTAA